CTGCTCAGCATCGTCTGCTAAATGACGACAACAAAAGTTGGGAGGAAGCAACAACGTCCACTTCGGGATTTCTTTGAATATGACTGCGAGAAAAATTAAAGCAAGTGTCTTGTAGTGGAAACAGGTGATAAAACAGGTGGAAGGCTTTTCAAGTGGAAAACTGCCTGAATCAAGCTCACAAGATGGCTGACTGTGACTATCCTGACATGCTAGCTTCTCTCAGTAGCTCACGTGAAAAACAATCAACAGGTAGCACTGGGTTGGAGACTATTGTCACTGTCCTAAAATAATCACCCAATTATTTGAGGAAGGTGTTGCCATAATAGACTGCTTTACAGTAACTAGCGACCAAATAGCTGTTGATTAGTTAACTCACAAAGACATCACAAGTTTGAGGATGCATTGGCAAATATGTTCATTCAAATTATAAAAAAAACTAATAATAATTCAATAATTCATATAATTCTTAACAATTCATTCATTTATTAATTTCATTAAAAAACAAACAATATTTCATACAAAACAATAAAGAAAATAAAATGAAAGGCAGCAGAAGAAAAAAATTCTTATCTGCTCCTTTTTAAAAAAAATTCCAACAACGATAAACCAAATAATAAAAAACAAAAGATTCAACTCCTATAACAGTAACTAACACAAATTAAACAATTTCATCTTTCTTTAACAAATTTTCTTTTATCGTTTTCTTAAAGGAATTAACTGATCCAATGCTTTCATAGTCCTTTTCTAGATTATTCAATAGTCTTATACCTTTTACAGAAATGCATCTTTCCTTCAAATTTGTTCTGATTTTTGCTTTAACAAACATTTGTAATCCCTTCAAATTATAGCAGCTTTGCCTCATAACAAAATGTGATGGAATGTTTGACGGCAACACATTTCTTTGAGCCCTTATACATAACCTGCAGAATGTTATAATCAACCAATTCATGAAATTTTAACAATTTTAATTGATGAAACAATATGTTAGATGGGCGATAGTAATGCTTTCTTGTGATAATTCTTATGGCTCTTTTTTAGTAAGATAAAAATAGGATTAGTAATGGTTTTACATGCATTTCCCCCAGACTTCTATACAATAAATCAAATGTGGAACAATTATTGCATTATATAGTGTAAATAGTGCTTTATCATTAAATAACTGCTATAGATTATAGAAAGWTAATACTAGAACTAATAAAAACTAAACTAAACTAAATCTAGGCATCAAAAATAACCTTGTAGGTTTTGTTTCATGGTCCCTTTGACTTCCTTCAGTATTCAAGTAAAACGTGTTACAAAACTGAGTTTATCGGCTGCTTATTATCTTGTTTTCAAATCAGAAACATGTAATAATAATAATGTGGAAATAACTTCAAACGACTCCAAATATCCAAGTACCTTAATGCAGTGAACTGTAAACTAAGCATCTTGATTTTTATTTATTTATTTATTTATATAATTACCAGATCTTCCTAAAATCTGATCATATTAAAGTTTGTTCCAAATTATTAGAATRCACACTGCAGCATCAGATGGGTTCTTAGTCTGGATTATTTTGTCACTCACCGTTTGTCTTCATATCAAACAAAATATTTTAAACGAACAAATGAAATGTAATGTTCCGATCTGTGTGCATTCTTTATTTTCTTTCAGATTGTGGACAGGAGTTCGGCACAAAGGCCACCCGAGGGTCCATCGCTCCAACTCGTCTTTTTTTCTTCGGGGCTCTGCAGACACAGCAGAAGGCTGCGTTCGTCCTCCACAGCCAACTGGAAAGGTTGAGTGCAGTCGAACCAGTAACTACAAGCTGCTCACAAAGACAGCGTTTGTCGAAGGCGTTGTTGTTTGGCAGAAAAGTCCATCATTTKACCCAGTTTTTGATCCGTAATGGAAAAAAGAGGATTTCATAGATGGAACTTCAGCACCTCGGGTCATGTTTGTGAATCTGAGCTGCTGTGTTTAACTTAATGCTGTTTGTGTCGGTGTGTTTAAGGCTGACTTCATGTCTGTTCAGTCCAAAATCATCATCTGCTTCACAGGTGTTTAGACTTCAAATTCTTCCAAGTACATACATATTTTTTATACATTTTTAAACTACAAATGACAACTCTGGTCTGCAGAAAACAGACAACTCTCAGGGTATTTTTGTGTAAATTTAGGTTTTTTATAAATGTGCAAAAAAAAAAGGATTATTTTAATGTATCATTAAATGTATTTGTATGAAATGCTTGACTTTTCTTTTAGTAACTGGAATCAAACTGAGTCTCATTTCTTCTCTATTATGCTACTTTCATGCATTTTAACATAATATTATAGAGATGTGAAGTCATGAAAATAAACTGTAAAACAATAGTGGAAGCTCTGTTTCACTTCTCCAGTGAAGAAAACTAAAACTGTGATTTTTGTACCAAATACACATTGGGAGGAGATTATTTCTTAAATGTAAATTTTGAAATAAATAGTGAATGAAAAGTGATCTGTGTTGTTTAATCCTCTTTCATTCTAACCAGAGCCAAGCAGATGATGGATTTAGATTTGGTTTTTGGATGGATAAACGTGTTGCTGTTGAACTCTGAAGGCACGTCTGTGTTCCAAATTTTATTTTCAAACTTAAATTCCTTTGTTTCTGAGGTTCAAAGAAAGCAGCTCGTCTTTGATTTAGACTGAACTCCTTTCAGGTGAGATATCTCTTTGAAAGATGAGTCTCAGTGAAAGTCTGAATTGATTTTATTTCTAATAGAAACACACACAAATAAGTAGACTTCATTCGTTGCCATTTATAATAAACACAGCTTAATTGGATTGTGTTATTTGTATTGCAGAAAATGCTCCAAACACTGCTGTTACTGGGCTTCTGCTGCCTTCAAACCTGTCTTCAACCAGTGCAGTTTGAAGGATTCATATTGAGGAAATTCAGTGAGTGGGAGGACTGTGACACGTACAAGCTGCTGCTGTTTACAGTGTCATCTGTCACTGCTCAAGTGTCCTTGGGAGTTGTGTAGTTGTCTTATATGCATGCATATAATAGTCTCCTGTGTGCTGTAATCTGACCCTGCTGTGTTGTTTTAGCTGCACGTCCAACAACATAGTGGCTGTTTGTCCTTCTGCAGACATACTGTAGCTTTACGCTTTATCTTTGTGTGTGTTCTCACTCATTGTGTGTGTGTGTGTGTGTGTGTGTACTTGGTTCCACTTCCATTTGGGTTATTGTGTTCTGAAGTTCCTTGATCCTGAGATGAACTCTGTCACCTTCGAAGCAGCTTCCTTCATTTAGTCTGAGATGCAGCGAGCTGAGAGCACACACTGCTTCATTACGCAGACCAGACTGAACGCCACCACACACACACACACACACACACACACACACACACACACACATCAAATGAGATGATGTTTCACCAAAATAATAATAATAATATGAAATAAAATTAGGGGCAAACTTGTTTTTTCATTCAAAGTCAAAAGTTTCAGTAACTTGTATTGCTGACTTTCAAAATAAAATGTATCTGAAAAGAAGCAACTTAAAAATGAAATATTCTAAATTTATCTAAAATTCTCACTGATATTTTTCCTATGAATTCAACTTGCTGATTTATTCAAATAAACATGTAATTTGTACATAAAGTCCTTTATAATCTACAGTTAGTCCCCTATTTGTCAAGTAGTTTATACTAATGCAATAACTGCTCAGAACAGACATAATAAAAAGCAATTACAGTCTSCTATACATGCAGAGTTTTACATAACAGGACAAAAATATGAAAACCACTAATCAGGTTTTAAAGGCAGGAGAAGAGAACCTCAGAAACAGGATAACACCATTTGGAATTAAACAGATTTAAAAAAAAAAGAAAATGTGTTTTTTTTACCATCTGTAAAACCTCTGCTGAGGCATGTGGTGGTAGCTGGCAGAAAACTGCAAAATGAACTAATAAGTTGAAGGTCAACGATGAAGCCACTGACGTTTGTGACGACAGCAGGATGATTAATGATTGTAGGCGGGCAACACTGAGAGGACATGGTGAGACGGAGTAAAGTGTGTGCAAGAGGTCCCACGCTTCTTTGGCTTGAACCTGGCAACAAGAACAACAAAAACAACTTATTGGACTTTCCTGCAAATAAAAAACCAACAGATTAGAAACTGGTAAAAGATGAGGCAGCCTGATGTGAGGCGATGTACGTCAACAATGAGTCTCTGAGGTTTGTGAGAGGAGACGGACAAACAGGACACGGAGAGACAAAACTCGGGCCGGTGGGCCAGACGTTCACTGAGAAATCAATACTGCATCCCCCCTTTTCACCCAGCTCCCCTTGCTCCTCTGTTCCTCCCTCTCCTCAACACTGGCCTCCACTCTGATGTGGGGTCATCCATTATTTATTCCTTAATGTGTTATTCTTCCTTCTCTGCTCCGGCTCTTTGGCTTTCAGCAACAACACACCTGTCTGCAGCCAATAACGGACCTTCCTCGCTGCTGCTGAGTTATGATGCTGCACAGGCTGGATGAGATTTTGTCCACACCGTGTCGCACGAAACAAATGTCACGACTCCAGCACACTGCTCCTCTTTACGATCTAGCTCCTGCACAGCAACGTAACACGACTGGAGCTGCGGTGGAACATAACTCAGCAGCAACAAACACGTCTGCACCACATTTCACAACAATTCATCCAATCAGCAGAAGCAGTCGGCGCCAAAGTGGGAGACTGATGAAAGAGCACGGTGATAACAGGGARCAAACTTAATGTGACTCACCAGCTGGACAGCTCTGTGGTGCCACCTGTTGGTGGGGTGATGGTAGAAGGTCAGCAACCAGAGAAGGGGACCACAGTCCTCAGGGCCTGATGTGACCAGCAGCTGGAGCGCCACCTGCACCCAGTGGGCGCATTGAACGAGCAGGAACCAGGCCTCAAACACTTTGTGGTGCCCTCTGCAGGACAGGAGGAGATGCAGCACTCAACAATAATAAACTTATTTTCTGGCAGCTTTGGTTAAATTGTCACAATAAAGCAAAGGAAAATGACACCAGTACAACACACATTATCTAGGATCAAATAAACTATCTGTACACATTTGAAATGTTAACACTGGAAACAAACGTGCGGCGCTAACAAAGCAGTAAACAGCCTATAACTCGGGGGGATTTGGGTGGTCTGTTTAGTTCTTTAACAGCCTGGCACCTAACCCATCCCTGTCTCACTTTTTCCACTGTAAACTTATATCCAACTGTTCAAACAACCAGCTGTTGAAAAACTACCGCTGATAATTGTATTTTACCATTTCAACGCAGGGCGCTGTCCTAACACCAAATAAAACTTGACAATAAAGACGAGGTCCAACGTTCCAACAAGCCGTGTGCCGTCTGAGAGGTATTTAAACACACAACAGCTTTTAAACTTTATTATTTCTCTTTAACTTGTTTTTACATCTGCCAGTCATTTTAGTCCCATTCTCACTGAAGAATATAAATCATCTGAGAAGCAAAGCTTTTATACAGTTTTATAGACAATCTGAACCCAGATGTGGTGTTGCACTGGAGTTTGATGCAGTTTTTATCAAATAAATAATGTTTAGATCAGGTTTTTTTTGTTTCTGTTTATTGTTTTAAATCTAAAACGTATCAAAAAACTAGATAAGCTTTATTTTTCTGAAACAACTCTTTTACTGGCTGGTTTCATCCTCAAAAATACAATAAAAAACTTAGGAACTACGCTGATATTTATTTGCTGATATGATTTATTAAACTGTTCTGCAGTTGGTCAGTTAGGGGTGGAAATATTAAATAAACAGAAAAGAAAGCTTCAGCTTCAATAAACAACACTGTTTCATAACAGCTACCATTTACAAAAAGCTTACTGGTCCTGGGGGATTATTTTGTTTGTTTGTTTGTTTGTTTGTTTGTTTATTTATTTATTTATTTATTTATTTTTTTATTTAACCAGGCAAGTCCCACTGAGATCTCAGACCTCTTTTCCAAGGGTGGCCTGGGCCTGAAGGCAACCTCTTGTACATGTTTTTAGGGGTGGGGGAAACCGGAAAAATAGTCCATTATAAAATAATGGACTAAAAGAAATATTTCAAAATTCATAATAAGCAACTAAATTAAACAAATTAATTATTCTATCACTTCTTTATAAAACTCACTCCTGTCTGTATGAAGTCACAAAGGTACTACTTTGTATTAGAAGTGGTCTGCATTTTATAATAAATGAACTTTTGCAAGTAATTTATAAACATGCCGTTTATTTAACAAAAGCAATTAATGGCTAACTGTTAAAATAACTCATCTATAGCTCTAAATAAAAATAAAAATGGAGTCTGAAGAACTGCTGTAAAGCCTCTAAAAGCAGGACAGGAACATAAGCTCACGCTCAAACACATCGTGTGCTGCAGCAGCAGAAAACAGAGCTGCACAGCTGCAACACAGAGAACGACTTGAGGACAGAGGAGGAGAGCTTGTTCTCTCAGATTCCTCCATTACCATCATTAGCTCCCCTCCCCTCCTCCCCCATTGGCTTCAACATCCCAACAGCAGCAGTCCTCTGCGGGGCTTTGGCAGCGCCGAGACAACATGCTAGTTTCCCACCGCTGGCTTGGAACAGCATTTTGAGATTCTGCGAGCAGCTTTGAGACTCCAACAGTGGCGGGGATAATAGGCCCCGATCAAAACCGCAGCTGTAGGGTATCAAGTCAAGCGTCTCCATCTTTAGGGCATCAACTGTGCTGTTTTTATCTCTGTACTTTCTATCCTCATCCACGATCTGCTCTTCTTCTTTTAATGCCCATGCAGTGGTTTTTATTACTGTGCTCTCTCTTCCTTCTTTTTGGTTTCTCTCTTTTACTTTCCTCACTTCTTCTTCAGCTTCCCAACGTCTGTTTTCTCCACGGGGCTCCTTGTCCCAAAGTTATTGTTCTCTAATGAAGGCTTGGAGAAGCCGCACCGTGCTCCAGGAGCTCTCTGCTGTGATGCGAGGGGGAAATTACTGACTAACTAACACCTCAGCAGCAGCTAATGGAAATAAGAACAGCACACAGGCGTTCTGTAGGCTGGTGGAAGCAGACACACATTAACACAATTTCTCTGGAGCCCTTTGGCTCTCTAACCTGGTGCTTGTGCTGCCTGCGTCTCCCTCCTCTTCCTCTTCTGTCAGTCTCTGTAACGAGCTGCTGAGCCACTTCAGGTGGCTTTTCAAAGCCTCRTGAGGCATCTCTGGAGGAACACAATCATAATACCAACATATTTACTGAAAAGGAAACATTTACAATCATTTTGTTACATTCAAAGCTGGGTGACTATTTCATCTTAAATTGTTATTTTCTTTACAAAATGCTGCTTAAACACTAAAGGACATTTGCAAACGAGCTGCAGCTTTATAATAATAATCACACACACACACACACACACACACACACACACACACACACACACAGATAAGAACATGCTTAGCTAAAGGCTTTGTTTAGGCTTATTTGATATGTTACT